ACCCTACAGAAAACTGAAATAGATGGTCCTTATCTTAACTTGATAAAGGCTATTTATGAAAAGCCAACAGCCAACATCATTCTAAATGTCCAAAAACCAAAAACCTTCATGCTAAAATCAGGAATGAGACAAGAATGTCCACTATCACCAGTTCTGTTCAATATACTTTTGGAAATATTAGCCACAGCAGTTAGACAAGAGAAAGAAATAAAAGCAATAAAGATAGGAAAGAAAGAAGCAAAACTGTCCTTAATTGCTAATGATATGATACTCTAAATAGAAGACCCCAAAAAACTCCACCAAAAGACTTCTAGACTTAAATGACAGATTCAGTAAAGTACCTGATATAAGGTAAATACTGAAAAACCAATAACGTTTTGTACACAAATAACTTCATTGAGAGTCAAATTAGGGAAACAATTCCTTTCACAATAGCATCCAAAAAAAAAAAAAGAAAGAAAGAAAGAAATATCTAGGAATCAGTCTGATGAAGGAGATGAAATCTACACTGAAAACTACAGTATTCTAAAAACAGAGATTGAAGAGGATATTAGAAAATGAAAAAACACCCCTTGTTCCTGGGTAGGAAGAATCAATATATTGAAAATGGCCATACTTCCAAAACTGTGATACAGATTCAGTGCAATCCCCATTGAAATCCCAACAGTTTATTTCATAGAACTAAAAAGACAAAAACAAAAACAAAACAAAACAAAAAAACAATCCAAAGATTCATTTGGAACCAGAAGAGACCTAGAACATTGAAAGCAACTCTAGGCAACAGAGACATGACAGGGGCTATCATAATTCCCAAACTTTACTACAAAGCCACTGTGCTAAATACAGCATGATACTGGCAACAAAACAGACCCAAGGATCTGTGGACTAGATTAGAAGATGCAGAAACATCTCCTGACATACTTAACTGCCTCATCTTTGACAAAGGAGCCAACCATCCTCACTGGAGGAAAGATAGCTTCTTTGATAAATGGTGTTGGAAATACTGGATTTCAGCTTGTTAAAGATTAAAACTGGACCTGTATCTTTCACCATACATTAAACTAAAGTTCTAGTGGACTAAAGATATAAATATTAAAACAGAAACACTAATCTTGCTGGAAGATAAGTTAGGTAGAATTCTCAAAGACACAGGCACAGGAAAAGACTTTATGAACAAATCTTCAGTAGCACGGCACTAGCACAAAGAATCAACAACTGGGATCTCATCTTTATAAAAAGCTGCACTGCCAGAGAAATAACAAGCAGAGCTAAGAGACAACCCACAATACGGGAAAAAATTTTTACCAGCTGTTCCTCAGACAAAGGTCTGCTGTCTAGAATATATAAAGAACTCAAAAAATCAGAGCCCCCCAAATACAAAGACACAATTTAAACATGAGCATCTGAAATGAACAAACATTTCTCTGACAAAGAAGTAAAAGCAGCAATTAACCATATGAAAAAATGTTCAACGTCACTGGTCACTCAAGAATGCAGATAAAAACAACACTGAGATTCCATCTCACCCCAGAAAGAATGGCTGCTATCAAGAAATCAACTGATAACAAATGCTGTTGGGTTGTGGTGATCTAGGAATCCTTCTTCATTGTTGGTGGGAGTGCAGAATGGTGCTACCAACTGTGGAAATCAATATGGAGATACCTCAAACAACTAGGATTAGAAGTCCCATTTGGCCCAGCTATTCCTCTGTTGGGTATCTTCCCAAAAGAATTAAAAGAATCATACCACATTGATATATGCACACCCATATTTATAGTGACACAGTTTGTAACAGCTAAAATTTGGAAACAGCACAATTGACCATCAACTGGAGACTCAATAGATAAGATGTTGTTTTTCTACAAAATGGAATACTACTCAGCCATAAAGAATGAGGAACTAGAGACAGTTATAGCTAAGTGGATGCACACTGAGGCCATACTCTTAAGTGAAATTAATGTTACACATGTGTAAATGCCAAATAGTTTCTCTATTTGTAATGTATGTAAATAAAGATTAAAATGTAAAATTGATATTGTGCAATAGGAAGAAAAGTCTAAAAGAGTAGAGGATGTGGGAGGAGTAGGGGAAAGGTAAGAAGGGAAAAGAAAAAATTTGTGAAAAGGAAAAACATGGAAACAATGTCTTTGTAAACAGGGAAGGGTAGAGCGACTGAGGGGAGGGCTTCGGAATGGGGAAAAATAAGAATGATGAGTCATGTATAGGTACAAGACCCCAATGATGAATGTAAACATGTTGTATACCTAATATGTACTAATAAATTTAATAAAGATAAAAACAAATTAATGGGGACTCTGTGATGTTTTGCTACATTCATACATTGTTCAGTGCTTAAATCAGGTTAATTATATTTACTTCCTTAAATGTTTATCTTTATGGTAGAAATATTCAATATGACTTCTTCTAACTTTTTGAATCATATATTATTGTTTATCTACAGTCACCCTACTATTCAACCACACACTAGAACTTATTACTATATAACTGTGATTAATACCCATTGACCATCCCTCTCTGTCTTCCCTGCTTACTACTCTCCCCACCTTCTGGTTATCTCCATCCTACTCTTGGCTTCTTTGAGATCAAGCTATTGGATTCCACATATGACTGAGATCATGCTGTACTTGTCTTTCTGTTTTGGGCTTAAGTTACCATAATGATCTCTAGTTCTATTCATGTTTTAAATTACAAGATTTCATACCACGTTTTTGCTGGTACTGGGGATTGAAACCAGGACCTCACTTATGCAAGGCAATCTACCACAGAGCTTCATCTGTACCACAGGATTTTTTCCTTTTTTATGGTCCAGTAGTATTTCACTCTACAAATGTGTCATGTTTCCTTTTTCCATTTATCAGCAGAATGAAACTTAGGTTGTTCCCCTGTCTTGGCTATGTGAATAATGGTGTAATGAAAAAGGAAGTGCAGATGTCTCTTTGACATATTAATTCATTGCCTAGTGGTGAGATTGATGGATCTTTGGCAAGTTCTGTTTTTTAGCTTATTGAGGAGCCTCCATTCTGCTTTCCATAATGGCTGTGCTAAATCACATTCCCACCAACAGTGTGTAAGAGGCTCCTTTCTGTATCTTCACCAGCATAGTTTTTGGTCATAGCCATTACTACTAGAGTGAGGTGATAACTACTTGTGGTTTTTATTTATATTTACATCATGATTAGTGATGTTGAATATTTTTTTCATGGACTTGTTGGCCATTTCTGTGTCTTCTTTTGACAAATGTCTGTTAGAGTTTATTGCCCATTTTCTAATCAGGTTATTTGTTTTCATACTATTGAAGTTTTGGTGTTCTTCATATATTTTGGATATTAGTCCCTTGCCAGATATATGGGTAGCAAATATTTTCACTTTTTCTGTAGATTGTCTCTTCATTCTGATTGTTTCCTTTGCTGAGCAAGAGTGTTTTAGTTTGACATAGTCCTACTTGTCTATTTTTGCTTATGATTTTAGGGCTTTCACAGGCTTGTTCAAAAAAATTCTTTCCCATTTAAAGGGCCTGAAACATTTCCCCTCTTTTTTGTAGTTTTGTAGCATACATGTGATTCTGTAATCCACTTTGGTTTGATTTTTTGTACTGGTTAGAGACAGGAGTCTAGACTTAGTCTCCTCCATGTGGATATCCAATTTTGCCAGCACAATTTATTGAAAATATTGTATTTTCTCTAGTAATACATGTTCTTAGCACCTCTGTTGGAATTCCATTGGCTGCAGATTAGTAGGTTTACTTCTGGGTCCTCTACCGTGTTCTGTTTGTCTCTATGTCTATTTTAATATCAACTCTATGTTATCTTGAATTTTTCAGTTTGAAAGATGGATCCATTCATCAAGATAAGGAGTACAGAAACCAAAACAGGCTCCAGCAACTAAAATAAGTTTAATTTTCCTTTTTTTTCTTATTGAGTTTATTTGGATATACACCTAAGTAAAATAAATAAAATGAGTTTAATTTTCAACATAAGTTTTAGCTCTCACAAATGACTCAGTTGATTTTAGAAATTATAAATTATTATTAGTGATTATCTATATCTTTTTAAGATTTCCAAATGTTCCTTCACAAGTACCCAGGGGTCTAGCTAAAGTTTCAGTAAAGAAGATATCTGGATAAATTACTTTTGAGTGTTACAGTAGACACAACAAAAGGACAAAAAAGACATGGGTAGTGGGGATTAGTGCAATACAGAGTTAAATTATAGGCTATGCATCTGGGTTGGGTTGGAAAGTAGTAAGTTCACTGAGGTGATGATGGGTTAGGAAGTCTCTAGGTAACAGCAACGGGGATGAACAGAACATTTTCAGAGGAGGAGAGAATTGTTCCCACTGTCAAATAAAGATCAATACAGTAATGGGGAGTTCAAGTAGGACATTGCTACCAATTTTGGTTCTATAATAAGCATACAGTGGTCAAATAATATGTTTACCTTGAGTGCTATCCAGAAGAATTAATCTGTACATAGACAGGCAGGATAAAGTATATCGTAGGACTGGGATGTGGGAGCCAGAGGGAGGGGTGTGTGGAACCAGCAGTAAAAACAATGACAAGTGTGAGGGAATTCCACAAAAGAACCGTGATGAGAGTAAAGGAAGATGAGTTGGTGGGAAACTGCTTTGCATTTTGACCAAGGAATGAGAAGGAGGATGTGTTAGACAGACTTATCTGAAAGCTTTTAGCAGCCAGCCCCAGGTGGTATCAAACTTATGAAGTTAGCGATTTTTACACTCAACATTTAAAAAGAATGTCACTGAGAATTGACTTACCTTGTCTCCGAAGAGTTTGCTTTCTTAGGCTGTTAAAGCAGAAAATGCCTCTATGCTCATGCCTCATTTTAGAATTTTAAAAAGTCACAGAAGTCTTATCACATTCCTACTATATGCACACTGACATTGTAAACACTACACAGAATATACAACAAAAATGATGCATTTTTGGAGCCTCGGAAGGTATAAAATTGTGTACAATTTACCTCAGATCTGTAGGCCTTGGAAGGAGTCTTTTTTTCCCACTAAAGTAGACTTCAAAATCTTCAGTCTTTAGTCTGTCAGCATAGTCAATATATCCAGAAACTTCTTGTCCATAAGAATTTTTGTCACGAATGAAGATCACAGACTGGTAGCATAGACAAATTGAGAATGGAGAGGAAAAGTGAATAAAAGCTACTTTGAGCTACTGAGGCTTTATTTCATGTGTTTTACAGCTCATCTTACAATGATTCTATCAGGTAGGTGCTATTTATCTTTACAGGTGAAAAAACTTAGAAAACATAAGCTCACAGTACCTAAAATATGTGTGTAATTTACAATATTGATAAAAACTTACATACATTTTCTTAAGAAGACATTAAATGTTTGAAATATATTAGTTTATCTACTATCTTACTGTTTACATTTTGTTCATCATTTTCTACAAAAGTGAACAGAGAGGTTGTGATGCCCAAGGTCTTAGAGATAGTGTAATTCAAACAGAAATTCAAACCCCGTTTCATGCATTTATCTTTTTAAGCTCTACATTCTTTTGCCATTTGAGCTAGTATTTATTTCCTGCTGTAAAGATCTAAGTGTGGTCCTTTTAAAATTTTATTTTATTAGTACATGTTTGCAATGCAAGAAGTCTACTTTCACCCTTGAGTGTTGGTGCATCTACATGTATCTTGATTCTTTTTATTTTCCTTCTCATCCACGTCCTCCTCCCTTCCTCACTCCCTGGAGCCTCTTTACCCATTTACATTATTATTGTTAATATTATTATTTATAGTTCATAATCATACTATATGTTTACAACACTGTATTTGGTACATGTACATGACATGTCTTAAATCTTTTTACCCCATCTTCCGACTCCTAGATCCTTTCCAGTTTACAAAAGATCTATCTCCTAGCTTCCTTCTACCAACCATTGTTTTGCTCTTTATTTACACTTTGTCTTGCTCAAGTGAGAGATATCATACGGTATTTAAGCTTTTGCATCTGATTCATTTCACTTTACACTATACTTTCCAGGTGTGTCCATTTTTCTAGAAATGTCATGAATTATTCTCCTCTATAGTTGGAAAGTATTCCATTGTCTATAGGTACCTCATTTTCTGTATTCACCTATTGAGGGACATACAGGGTGCTTCCAAGATTTGACTATTATGAATTGTGCTGCTGTAAAAATTGGTATGCATGTGTCTCTGTAGGATATGTACCTTTTGCTCTTTGTGGAAGATATGCAGAAGGGAAGCTGCTGGGTCAAATGGAATTTTTAATTCTTTGAGAACTCTTCATACTAATTTTCATAATGATTGTCCTAGTTTACATTCCCAGCAACAATGTAGAAAGTTTCCTTTTGCACTGCAGCCACACCAAAATTTGTTACTATTTTATTTCTTGATTATCAGCATTCATTCTGGTATAAGGTGAAATCATGGTGGTGTTTTAATTTGTAGTTCTTAATAGCCAGAGATGTGGAACATTTTTCATGTGTTTATTGGCCATTTGTACTTCTTTACCTCAGATATATCTATTCATTTCACTTACCCATTTTTTGATTGGATCTTTTATTTACAGTAGTCCAAGTTTTTAGAGTTCTTTATATACTTTAGATATTGGTCCTCTGTAAGGAATAACTGGCAAAAATGTTTTCTCAGTCTATAGGTTTTTCTTCACTCTGCTGATTGTTTCTTCCACTGTACAGAAGCTTTTTAATACAATATTTTTGTTGATTCTTCCCAATATTTATTGTGCAATTGCTTTGCTGTTCAAGAAGTTCTTAACTGTATATATGACTTCAACTATTTTAACTATTTTATCTTCCGTTGGGTTCATTGTTTATGTTTCAGTATTTAGACCTTGGATTTATGCTGATTTTAGTTTAGTACATGGTGAAAGATAAAAATCCAGCTTCAATCTTCTGCATATAGACAGCCAGTTTTCCCAGCACCATTTGTTAAATAGTCTATCATTATTTTAACATATTTGTTTGTTCCCTTTGTCAAAGACCAAGTAGCTGAACATGTCTGGGGATGTTTCTGTATCCTGTATTCATTTATCCATATATCTGTTTTAGTGCTAATAGCATCCCATTTTTGTCACTGTTGTTTTGAAGTATGACTCAAAGTCAGGTATTGTGATATGTATTGCTTTGCTTCTTTTTATCTCAACCTCATGAGAATAAAAGAACCCTTTAAAATGCCTCAATGCGTCAAAATTGTATAGGAATTTAACAATACTGTAAATTATATACTTTAGAATATATCTCATTCCTATTAATCCCCTCACAAATATCATTGAGCACCTGCTACATGTTAGGCACTATTAAACTTACCAAGAAGAATAATAAATAAGATTGCTAAGATTCAGATTTTTAAAACTTTTCTTCTTCCTCTCCTTCTCCTCCTTTTTTTTTTGTTTGGTACCAGGGATCAAACGCAGGTCCTTGCCCTTATGAGGCAAGGCGTAGTGCCACTGAGCTAAATCCCCAGGCCCAGAAATACTATTCTGAAGGGGATTCTGAAGCAGGTTCTTGGGCCAAGATGATAAAATGTTTTGATGGATTTCTGGTGTTTCCCATGAATGCAGCATGAGGAACTGGTATTCAATGTTCCTCTGTGTAATCTGACATAGAATTCAATCCTGAGTCCTTCTCATTTCCCTCACATAACTCCGTGATTAATTAGTAAAGATTCCTCCACACATTTAGCCATTATTTTAGGTTCTGCAGAACAAATTGCAAATGAACAGTAGCTCCAGTAGACTTCTTGAGACTCTCATACTACTAAGCCAGTAACTAGCTCTGCTGCTCCTGCGTAACCATGCACATAAACTATAACTATTAATATTTCACATGTAGCCCTACAACTAAAGTTGTTTGATCTCTTTTCATTTTGTAGGAAATTCTTGGTGGTTGCCAAGTCATACCTTCCTCTCTGTTTCTCTCTCTCTCTCTCTCTCTCTCTCTCTCTCTCTCTCTCTCTCTCTCTCTCTCTCTGTCTCTCTCTCTTACGCACAATGAGAAATATGCCATCTTTATTTTGTCAGAAGAATGGCAAACTACCTTTCTGCTGTAAAAATCTGGATAAAATATAAAAACTACATGTAAAATACATTCCTGCCCTGGCAAGAAAATGAATTTCTTAAGAGTCCAAAAACTAAGTGAAGGCAGAAATCCAGAAAGGAAAGCAGAGTCCTAAAGATATCTTTTTTTCTGCAAGCATTTGTTCAGTCTAAGAGAATTTGAGCAAAGCTTTCATGACCTGAGGGTCATGAACATCAGGTTTTCAGATACAGAGGCTAACGAGACTGACTATCTAAATTTAAAGCGGAGAAAACAACAAAATTGAAATAATACATTAAGGTGTCCAGAGAAAATAGTGATCATCCTAGAACTGTACACCCAGAGAAAATATCTGGGTCATGAGGAAGATATAGAAAGACAATTTTCAGATTTAAAATAAAGTGAGAGACTTGACTAATAATAGACTCCTGCTCAGAAAATTCTACAGGATGATTTTAAGGCAGAAGTAGGTAATTCCAGCTAGAAAACCAAAAGACAATGAAAAGAATTAAAAAAACAAAGCAAGCAGTAAATATATAAGTAAATATAAACAAATCTCGACCATATAAATCAATATTAATTATGAATTCAGCAATAAAAACACTATACCTAAAATTTTAAATAAACACATATGTTTGGAAGGAGCAGTTAGAGTCAACGAGTTGATAGTTCCCTGAATTTGTCAGAATGGGGGAAGATATACACAGTTTTAGAGTTGGACAGATGTGTATGTATAAATTTAAGATATCAATAACAAATTAAAATTATTAAAGAGAAATAATAAATTAAAAGCAAGAAAGAAGAGGATAAATATTGGAGAGGAAAAATAACATTTATAAAATATAATGATTGTATTATAGGGAGATTGTGTTCCCCAGATTCATATATTGAATCCCTATCTGCAATACCTCAGACACGATTGTTCTTGGAGATAGGGCTTGCAGCGATGTGATTAAATAACAATGAGCCTGTTCTAGCGAGACCTAATCCAATCGGACTGATGCTTGGATAAGACGAGAAAATTTAGGCACAGACCGATAGCAGGCTACCTGTGCACACAGGATATGCTACAAGAATACCCAGCCAGAAAATGCCCAGTTGAGGGCAAGGATAGTTTACCTCTGAAAAAACCACCTCTGTTAACACCCTGGTCTGTCTTGGACTTCTGGCCTCCATAACTGAGAAAACACAATTGTGCTGCTTAAGAACCCAGTTCATGGTATTTTGCTATTCTATACCTAGAATACTAATATAGACAGTAATACATTAAAATATTTAAGTAATTACAATAAGTATAAATGACCAAATGCTGAAGTTAAAAGACAAAGTTTATTAGACTGAAAAATATATAAATATAAAAAACCCTAAAAGGTTGGAAATTGATAAGGATTATTATATAAGAGGAATTCCACTTACAAGACAATTGATATTAGTATGTTAATATTAGACAAAAAGGATCTTAATACAAAACATATTACTAGAGATAGCCATTACCTAAAGATAAAAGACCCAATTCACAGAAAGATGTAATAATTCCAAATTTAAATGAATGTTTAAAAACATGGTCTCAAAATATTTAAAGCAACAGTTGATGTAACTACAAGGGTAAATAGACAAGTTATCATTACTATACTAAATTTACTTCTCATTAATTTCTAGACTGACCACAGAATAATTACAAAAATATGAATGTATAAATTATAATTTTAATATAGATTTTAAATTGAAAACCCAAGCCTGAACACTTGTTACCTTAGTCATGTACCTGAACTTCTTTACCTTAAATATTCTTGTGGATAAAATGGCTGATGAACTAAAATTAATACATTTGAGCATAATTTTATTACTTATTATTTTATGGAAAATGGCTTTCATGTCAGTTAAGGCTCTCTTTCTTTTCTTTTCTTTTGTTTTGTTTTTTTTTTTTTGTTTTTTAGTTTTTTTGAGACAGGGTCTCACTATGTAGCTGAGACTGACCTGGAATTCACTATGTCACCCAGGCTGGTTTTGAACTCACAGTAATCCTCCTGCCTCAGCCTCCTGAGTGCTGGGGATTACAGGCGTGTGCCACCATG